GCTCGCTCCGCGCCGACCCCGCGTCGCGTCTCCCGACGCCTGGGCCACTCGGGTTGCGGTTCTCGGCGCACGCCCTGGCCCCGCCCCCGGCGCCGCTGATTGGCGGAGCGGGCAGGGAGGGGCGGGGCCGAGCAGAGGCAGCGCAGGTGTGTTCAGATGCTCCAAAGTCCGCACTCAGGCGGCGATTGCGCAACTGGAGCTTTCCCCAGGCTGGACGGGGGTGGGATACCTATTCTCCCCGGAGATGGTAGGCCCACACCTATTTAATAGGATTTTTCAGAATCAAAGGGGAGATGTCACACCCTAACCTCCGGCAGGTTCGGGAGAGGATTTGGGGCCCGGCGAGTAAACCAGTTACGAACTTTCCAGAAACACTGCCAGAACCACAGCCTTTCAGAAAGACCACTGCAAGCCTTCATCGAGAACTACCTTTGCTGTCTGCTCAGGACTAGTGTCACTCCCGTTATTTACGTTATTTACTAATCTTGTTGTAAAATAAATGGCTGTAACACGCAGACATCTTTAAAATTCTCCTGGCCGTAACCTCAGAATCCGTAGTTACTAGAGTGAGCCTATACTCCCTTGCATTGTCCATTCCTGAATTTACAAAAGCACTCATCGTCGGGCGCGGGTGGCTCACGCCTGTCATCCTAGCTACTCAGAAGGCTGAGATCTGAGGATCGAAGTTCAAAGCCAGCCCGGGCAGGAAAGACCCTGAGACTCTAATCTCTAATAAACCACTAAAAAATCAGAAGTGGCGCTGTGGCTCGAGCGATAGAACGCTCGCCTTCCCACGACCGACAAAAAAAAAAAGCAGTAATCTTTGGAAACAATTTTTTTTTTCTGCGGGTCGTGGGACCTAAACTCTGGGCCTGGGCACTGTCCCTCAGCTCTTCAGCTCAAGGCTAGTTAGTGCTCTACCTTTTGAGCCATAGCACCACTTCGAAAACAATCTATTTAAAAATGACAAGTTGGGGGCTGGGAAGGTGGCTCAGTGGTAGAGCGCTTGCCTTGCATGCATGAAGCCCTGGGTTCGATTCCTCAGCACCACATAAGCAAAAAGAAAAAAGCCGGAAGTGGCGCTGTGGCTCAAGTGGTAGAGTGCTAGCCTTGAGCTGAAGAGCTGAGGGACAGCACTCAGGCCCAGAGTTCAGGCCCCACAACCGGACCCAAAAAATAAATAAAATAAGATGATCAGTTGTCTGACAGGCAGGCATCAGATGACTGCCTTTAACACCTGTAGCATAGTAAACACATAATACCTTTTATCTTCAATTCTTCCAATCAGCCAGGCTAAGTATTTTAACCTCTAACCCAAAAAAAAAACATGTAGTGGCTAAGCAATCTCTGGAATTGACGGGTTCTTATGAACTCCCAGCTTCTCATCTTTCTAGCTTGGCTTTTGAGGTAGCTTTCTTCTCAAACAATGTAGAAGCAAAAGAAGGGACTAAATGAGTAAAACCTGTATTTGGGAGGGGGGAGGGGAAGGGAACAGTGCCTGAGGCCTGTAATCCTAGCTAATCTGGATTTGAGATTTGAGGATTGCCATATTTTGCCAGCCAGGGCACTAAATCAGAGACTCACTTCTGGCAAAAGCTGCAAGTGGAGGTGTGGCTCAAGTAGTAAGAGTACAGGCTTGAGTAAAAAAGGTAAGCAAAAAAAGCAAAAACAAAAGCTGTGCATTTCTCATTACTATAAACTACTACATAATATCTAGGATATCTGTTAACTTTCCATCCTGGTGGCAAAATACCTGAGAAAATCAAGTTAAAAAAGTAAAGATATGGGGCTGGGTATGTGGCTCAGTGCTTGCTTAGCCTGCTTGAAGCCCTGGGTTTGATTCCTCAGTACCACGAAAACAGAAAAGGCTGAAGTGGCACTGTGGCTCAAGTGGTAGAGTGCTAATCTTGAGCAAAAGAAGCTCAGGGAAGCCGGGAGCCAGTGGCTCACGCCAGTAATCCTAGCTACTCAAGAGGCTGAGATCTGAGGATCACAGTTCAAAGCCAGCCCGGGCAGGAAAGTCCAAAAAAAAAACCACTCAACAACCGGAAGTGGCGTTGTGGCTCACACAGTAGAGCACTCGCCTCCAGCTGAAGAGTGCAGGGGCAGCACCCAAACCCAGAGATCAAGCCCCATGACCGACAAAAAAAATCAGGGGCAGTACCCAGGCCATGAGCTCAAGCCACATGACCCCTCAAAAAAACATTAGGAAAAGAGTAAAGATGTACTGAAGGAGAGACAAGGGGAAAATGAGGTATGGTCAACTTACAGCTTATACAGGAGATATTCATCCATCTACTTCAATATTAATGCAACAAAATCATGAAACAGCATAACTTGAGGAAAATGAGGCCTTGTGAAGGCAACTCAGAAATATGGTTTTCAGAAACATAGACGTGCCATCTTTCCTTCAGAGGGACAACAGAATGCATTTCTTCCCGAGGGATGCGTTTTTTCTTACCCCAAGAATTAACACTAGTCTGACAGGACATATGCTTTCTTGAGAAAAATGCTTTCCCAAAACTACCCAAAGTGGAGATAACAAGGCGCCTTTCCTTAGCTCAAGGATAATCATCTGTCTTCTGACAGGATGCATTTTTACCTGAATGAAATGCCCCAAAACGTCCAGAAACTCAGTAATGCCAGGACTAAGTCGAAATCAGACCCCTGCCTTTACCACATAAATACCCCTCACAGCCTTTAGCCAGCGCCTCTTTCCCTGCTTACTCAAGAAGGCTCCGCCAAGTTTTCTTACCTTTGTGACATGTCCAGTTTCTTATTCTTAAATTGAAGTCAAGGACCTTGGTAGGGAAAATTCAGACTTTGCCAGAAAACCACGAGGACATCCAGGCACAAAGAACAAAGGAAAGGTTGATTGCCAGGAAAGAGACTGGCAGACCACCTCCTGCAACCGAGAAGAAGTAAGAAGTGCCGGCTATTGTCTCAGGTGACCTTTTATAACCTCTGAGGTTTGGGAGATCTGGTTGCCTTATATGGCTATTGTGATCCTTATCCACCCAGACCTGAGCTCCTCCCTGCTCTGGAGTTCCCGCCATATCTCTGACCACGCCCTCTTCCCCCCCCCCCCACCTGCGCTTCTGACTTGACCCAGAGCTACCCAACTGAATAGGGGCAGATGCCACATTGCTCCCTCTCCAGGTGGAGATATGACCCCTCTAATAAACGTTATAATAATCCTTCTTCTGTGCCTGCTTGCCTCTGCGTGGTCCCCTGGGATGATCATGAAGGATCCCCAAAGTTAGAGCTGCCCCAAAGGATTGATTACCCTATCTAGTTTAGAGGATCTTGCTGCCTTATGTGGTGGTAGTTATACCAAGGAGAGCCCTCTCTGGTGAGGGTAGGGGCTAATCATTTACTGCCTTTACTAAGTGGGCCTAGTGCTGCCTAGGGAAAGAGCATGCTAAGCTATTAGATAGGAGGCTATTGGACTAACAGGCCCTAAGAGTCACTTTTTTTTTTTTTTTGCCAGTTCTGGGGCTTGAACTCAGGGCCTGGGCACTGTCCCTGAGCTGCTTTTTGCTCAAGGCTAGCACTCTACCACTTGAGCCACAGTGCCACTTCCATTTCTGGTGATGTGGTAATGAGGAATTGAACCCAGGGCTTCATGCATGCTAGGCAAGCAATCTACCGCTAAGCCACCTTCCCAGCCCTGAGTCCCTATTTTTAAAGGGAAACTACACAAACCCTCACCCACATCCGGTGACAGTATTACCCTGATTTACAGTTTCAGATATTACAATCCAGGGAAAACTAGCTGTATTGCTTGGGGTTTGAGGTAAACTTGAATGTCCTACTGATGAAATCCTGATTGTTAGCCTCCAGTGGCTTTATTTATTTATTTTTTTTGGTCCAGGGGCCTGGGCGCTGTCAGCACTTCAGCTCAAGATTGCGCTCTACCATTTGAGCCACAGCGCCACTTCCGGCTTTTTCTGCTTATGTGGTGCTGAGGAATTGAACCCAGGGCTTCATGCATGCAAGGCAAGCACTCTACCACTAAGCCACCTTCCCAGCCCCTGCTCACGTGGCTTTTTAAGAAATAAAACCAAGCTAGGCACTAGTGGCTTATGCCTGTAATCCTAGCTACTCAGGAGGCTGAGATCTGAGGATCATGGTTCAAAGCCAGCCCAGGCAGGAAAGTCTAGGAGAATCTTTTTTTTTTTTTTTTGTCGGTCATGGGGCTTGAACTCTGGGCCTGGGCGCTGTCTCTGAGCTCTTCAGCTGAAGGCCAGCACTCTACCACTTGAGCCACAGCGTCACTTCCAGGAGAATCTTATCTCCAATAAACCACCAGAAAACCAGAAGTGGCTCTGTGGCTCAAGTGGTAGAGCACTAGCCTTGAGCTGAAGAGCTGAGGGACAGTGTGCAGCCTGAGTTCAAGCCCCATGACCAACCAAAAAAAGGAGCTGGGAAGGTGGCTCAGTGGTAGAGTGCTTGCCTTAAATGCATGAGGTCCTGGGTGCTATTCCTCAGCACCATATAAGCAGAAAAAGCCAGAAGTGGTGCTGTGGCTCAAGTGATAAAGCACTAGCATTGAGCTGAAGAGCTGAGGGACAGTGCCCAGGCCCAGAGGTCAGGCCCCACAACCGACAAAAAAAAAAAAAAAAGAGAGAGAGAGAAAGTAAGATACAAGACCAAAAGCAGCAAGAAAGGACAGAGTCCTCAGGAGCTGGGCATGAGAGTGCAGGTCAGTAAGCTCAGCACTCTTGCGTTCAAGGTCAATTTGGGGAACATAATGAGAAACTATCTCAAGATAACAGAGAACTTAGGAAGCAAAAAAGTTTACCCCTCCCGTCAAAGGTACTTTCCAGCTTCTAGTTCTGGAATGAGGCCTCCACCATGTCCTGGGACCTGGCCCAGAGAGGCTGTTGCTGGAAGGTGGGTTGGGGCAGATTAGGTGGGGTCATCTGAATGGGAAGTTGGGAAGCCCACAGGCATTATTTTAAATAATAATATAGACTGGGTACCTCCAACAACTAGAAAGGAATTGCCCTCCAGGTCTGAAGTGGAGGACCACCCACCTTACCTTTTGTGTACCCCATTTATCCCTACTTAGTGTATAATCAGCTTGTATAAAACCCAGAGTCTCCCCTCCCTCACCCTCCTAACTTCTAACACTAGTCTGGTTCGGGTTGCAAGCCTTTATTCTTTCTAAAAAGTGGGCATGACCTTTGCTGGTCTGTGCTGCCATGAAGAGACACTGCTTAGGAAATCCCCAGTGTTTGCTGTTTTTCCTAAGCTTTTAAAGTGAAAATCAGCCGCTTAGGAACCACAGTACTGGGTGGCATTGTCCAAAAAGAAATGTACTCATTTCCTGACTTAAATCACTTTAACTGTAAGGCTTAGCCTAAAGGAGCCCGCCACATGGTTCAAGCAGAAAAGAGTTTATTGGGAGAGCATACCGCTGGGCTGCACGAAATGGAGGCATGCAGGGGGCGAAAGGGATGCTGGGAAAGGGAAGAGGGGCAAGGGGCAAGGGGAGGCTGTAAGAGGGCCAGAGGGAAAACAAAAGGGCAGCACTGATGGTGGAGACGAATCTATAGGGAGGGTGGGGAGGACTGGCCTCAGCACAGACTTTACAGTCTGAGGGACCCCACCGCCGCCAGGTGTGCCATTTACCGGGGCTATGGATGCTGGGCCAGGCTTCTAGAGAAAGAGCCACGTGTGTACCCAGGAAGAGCAATGAGGAAGGGGGTTTATTGGAGATAAGAGTCTTATGGACTTTCCTGGCCTGGCTGGCTTTGAACCATGATCCTCAGATCTTAGCCTCCTGAATAGGGTAGGATTATAGGCGTGAGCCACCGGTGCCCAGCCACTTCCAGCTTTTTGTTTATGTGGTACTAAGCAATGGAACCCAGGGCTTTATGGATGCTAGGCAAGCACTCTACCACTAAGCTACATTCCCAGCCCCTGAATTTCTTTCTTTCTTTTTTTTTGGTCAGTCATGGGACTTAAACTCTGGGCTTGAGCCCTGTCCCTGAGCTCTTCAGCTCAAGGTGAACACTCTACTGCTTGAGCCACAGTGCCACTTCTGATTTTCTAGTGGTTTATTGGAGATAAGAGTCTCACAGACTTTCCTGCCCGGGCTGGCTTTCAACCTGGATCCTCAGATCTCAGCCTCCTGAGTAGCTAGGATTACAGGTGTGAGCCACCACCGCCCTGCCCCTGAATTTCTTTTTTTTTGGGGGGGTCCGGTCATGGGGCCTGAACTCTGGGCCTGGGCGCTGTCCCTGTACTCTTCAGCCCAAGGTTAGCACTCTACCACTTGAGCCACAGTGCCACTTCCGGCTTTTTTTTTCTGCTTATGTGGTGCTGAGGAATCGAACCCAGGGCCTCAGGCATGCAAGGCAAGCACTCTTCCCAGCCCCAACACTGTGTATCTTGAAGGTCCACATATAGATCACATGGCTTCTATTTTCCCATGCCCTCATCTTCAGTGGCCTTTTCTTGTTACGTTTTTCTGGTCCTGGGGCTTAAACTCTAGGCTTGGACACTATCCCTAAGCTTTTGTGCTTAAGGCTAGCTCTCTACCACTTGAGCCACAGCTCTGCTTGCTTTATGTTGCTCAAGATGACTGAACTTGCTACATGGTCCAGACTGAACCCCAACTTGAGATTCTCTGCCTCTGCCCAGCGAATGCTAGAACTACAGGTTTGCTCCATCATAGCCAGCTATTAGCTTTGCTTTTTGTTGCTGTTGTTTTAGTATTGGTGCTTGAACTCAGTCCTACAGGAACCTGTTTTGTGAAGGATTAAGGAGAATGAGCCTCAGAAGGCTCCCCTGTAATTTGGACATCTTACTGTCCCTCAAACAAGCCTGAACAGCTCAAGACATTCTTTGTAAAGTTAGAGAACAGGAGAGAAGAGACCTGCCAACCTGTTAAGGCTGTGTAACACTGTCGCCAGCCCTTCCTGCTATTCTCAGTGGGTGCAGCCTGTCCGCTGCCAGCGCCTGCATCTCCCCAGTGGGCTCAGACAGCCAGGGCTGCATCCTGTAGCAGGAAACTCCGCTCTTGTTACAGTTCAGCAGCAGTCAATACCCACTAATGTTGTAAATCCATGGCTGCACCTCAAAAGAAGTGTCAGGGCAGAGAAGGTCTGGTGTGAAGAACTTCATTCAGCGATGCATCTTGTCGAAGGCACTGTTCTAGGTCTTTTGGTGGCTGAGTCTAGGGGTGTTTATACTCTGGCTGTGCTCCGATTGGACTTCACTCCTAAGGTAGGCCAACAAGTATTTCTAAAACAATAGATATCTAACCGACCTACCTGGACGAGTAAGCTATGCCCTAGTGGCCAACTATAACTCAGAGCACCTTCCCATCTCAGCACAGGATTCCTGACCCCCACCAAGGAGGGGCTGAATGCCCCTCAACTATTTCCTCCTGCTGCCAGGTTAATGACTCTTATTGTAATCAACCTGAAGACAATGGACTATCAGCCCAGGATGTGGACTGTTTTAACTAAGCATATCTTCTTATACCACCCTGCCCCCCAATTTTGCCTATTTATCCAAAGGCCCTTGTCTGTATCCCAGAAGATGGCTGAGATGGACTGAATTGCTGTCTTCTGGTGGCATATATATATTTCTTATATCATGTGCTTTCTTTCTCTGCCATTTTGTGGGGGGGGGCGAGGGGGTAGGAGGTCCTGGGGCTGGAACTCAGGGCTGGTCCCTGTACTTTTCTGTTCCAAATTAATGATCTACCACTTGAGCCACAGCTCTACTTCTGCCTTTTGATGGTTAACTGGAGATAAGAGTCTGTAATCCTAGCTATTCAAGAGCCTGAGATCTGAGGATCACGGTTCAAAGCCAGCCCAGGCAGGAAAGTCCGTGAGACTCTTTTATCTCTAATAAACCACAAGAAAACC